TTTTTTTAATTAAACAAGGAAGCTTGTTAATGTTTAGGTTTTTTTAATTAAACAGGGAAGCTTGTTAATCTTAGCTCATTAAATAACTGAAGACATTTACATTGCTAAGAAACTGTAAGTTTAGGTTAACACATTTGAAGTTATAAAATGAACATCCTTAATTGTTCCCTGTTCCTTATGCAACCTTAGCCTGCTGTCTTAATTGTATTACAATCTGTCACACAGGACACTTGCAGTGACAGTGGCCAGACCATTTATCAGTTCTGTCCTCTATGGGCTTCTTGTTCAAACAAAAAATTAAAAAATTGACATTTCTGTTTCTTTGGAGCCATCCATATTCTCGTGTCACCACCTTTTCTTTTTCCTTTTTTCCTTCTATTTTCTTTCCTTCCTTGTAACTTGCATCTGATTTCTGCAGGGTGGGCTTCAGCAGCAAGTGAATGTCACAATCAAAATAGAGAAGAACATAAGAGCTTGCTGCAACTATGAAATACAGGTAGGATCTCACTGTTGCCCGTGTTCTTCCTTCAACATGGCAATGAGCAGCTTAGGAATGTTACACTTATTTCACAGTGTGTTGTTCTGAGATTGGCTAATTCCTAATTAGCTGTATCAGGGAAATTATTATTATGGCTGAAAGAACCATTTTTTTATCTGGGTATTCTCCGTAGACAGTGACTTTTCCTTAGTATAGGGTTGCCAACTCAGAGACTATGGAGTGGGAATGGCAAGTGTGCAACCCTAGGAGCTCATTGCTTGCTTAATGTGTAATTTAATGTGTAAAAATTCTTAACTATTCTTGTTTCCTGAAGGCAAATGGGAACTCTGTGTCCCTGTGCTAAAACACAGGGAATGTAGAGACGGGGGGAAACTGAAGTGGAGGAAAATAATTGCTTTTTCCGGATTTTCAACTGCAGATTCAGCCATTCTTTGCAAACTGTGGCACAGACTGTCTGAGACACTCTGCTTTCATCCCGTGTTCACCAGCACCAAGTGAGAAATGCTTTTCTGTAGATTAGATTTCCATTGTCTTAAATGAGAGCTGAATTTTTAATGTAACTCTTGTCTTTTGCAGCTACAGACCCATCAGGTAAGCAGTTCTTCCAATACCCTGAAACTTCTTTTGCTGCTCTTTTCCTGTCATATGGAATAACAAATGATCCTCCCTGGGATTGACCTGATGGGCATGAAATGTCCCCTTGTAACACTAAATTCAGAGTGAATTCTGTTAAGTTACTTCACCATGATTCGATGTGGCAAGTATTTGTATGCAGTGTGAACCTTAAAGAGCAATTTTTTTAGAGATATTTCACTTGCATAAAATTCTTTGAGAAGCAGTTTTGACAAGAAGAGTCTTAATATAAAATACTTTCTGTCACTTTGCTCAGTGTTAAAAAATTTGCATAATATAAAGCAGCTTTTGGAGAGAATAGCTTGCATATATTCATTTTTATGAACGTCAAGATAGATCATGTGCATAATGATTTGACATCTTTTTTTAGCTGCAACCACACCTGTAAGGGACTAGTTTGCCCAAGATTTAAAAGGAAACACACCTGTAGACTGAAAAAATACATCACCTGAAGTGGTGATTTTTTTTTTTTAAAGGCAGTTTACATGAGAAAGCAGGACATGGGTGGCAAGCCTGTCAAAGCTGGGTAAACATTACTGTTTAGAGGAAGGTTATTGATCTGTATTTTCAATGTGTGGCACATATGGCTCTTTGTAGAGCAAGTGTAGAGAATCATAATGAAAAGATGAATTCATTTTGAGCAGTGACAGTGGTATGTTATAAGGGGGAGGTGCTGGACTACCCATGTGTTTTGGCAGAGCCAGGCTCCTTCTCCCTTGGCCCCAGCTGTTCAAGAAGCTTCTGTTCTTTGGTGAAACTGTGTAAAGCAATGTCAGAGTGCTATTTTTGTGCTGCAGGTGATATGATTATATGGCTCTACTGGTGTATCACTGGGATCAGTGTGTTACTGGTGGGCTCTGTCATAGCAGGTGTGGTTTGTATGACCAAAAAACGAGCAGGTAAGACCATACCAGCTGGGAAGACTCAATATTGATGCTCTGCTTTGACTTCTGTACCTATTCCTATTGCTGTTTTCTTCCTTGCTGTCTTGCCACTAACATGTCTATGTAAACACTTTCTGGTTTACATCATAAGGCTTTTAACATCCTAATACCCTCCACCTTAAGTAAAGCCTTACATGATTTATGCTCTCTGATACTCTGTTTTCATAGTGCTTCAGAGCTCATGAGGGGGAAAAGGAACTTCACAGTTGAACTCTGTGTTTGCTTCAGATTGCTACATGCATGGTTTCCAGTTATTTTTCTCCAGTATTGCCTATGAGTTGTGCAGGACTGAAGCTTCCTGTTTGTCCATACTGTAGTCTTTCCCCTGTCCCCCAAAGTCTCTACAAAAGCATCTTTTTACTATTTTGAGCTGAAATAATGCTTTTCAATGAAGATGGAAGAAGAAAAACAGGACACAGAGGTTGACAGTGAGCAGGTTGGAAAATTGGGTAGTTAAAGACTAAGCCCTAGTTATTGGGCTGCAACCATGAGGCATTTATCACAGGGAAACTGTGCACCTCGCTAGATTTTTTTTAATTTCTTTGTTTTTTTAACCTGAGAGGAGTAATTGGAAATATTTTGGAAGAATTCTTAACATCAAATTTCTTTATAAGATGTAGCTAGTGACAATTTAGTCACCTTTTCAGAGAAGCCTCTTAAGAAGAAACTATATTTTTTAAAGCCTCTTCTACTGAAGGAGAAGTAGCAGAACAGTTGCGGTTCTGCACTTCTTAAGGCTGGCCAGATCTGGGGAAGCTAGAGAAATCAGTTTTGAGTGCATTCTTTCTCCTTTCAAAGGAAGAATGTAGCCAAGTACATAATAAAATTGGCTGTAGAAGACTCATAATTCATTTAGTATATTTTTATCAGGCTTAGTTCTCCCCATGGTTTTATCCCTATACAGTTAAAAAATTTAAAAATTTTTTTCAGCCTGATCTTTGGAAGGGGTTGGTATTTTAAAGGTTTAATCTTATTTTGTGTTTTCAAAACTGACAATGACTCTCTCTTCCAGGACACCAGCGAAGGAAATGTATCCACAATTATTTGCAGAATGGTAAGATGTCCTGCCTGTCTTTTGTCAAGAACATGTAATATATTCTGGAAGTCTCACACAGTTGTCCAGAAGGGGTTCTCTTAGGCTCTAGTACTGTATAGGTGTTTCTCAAAACCAACAGGTAGCCTTAGGATCTTCCTGTTTAGCTAAAAGAAACTTTGTATACAGAATTTGAATGCCATATTTATCAGATGGGAGGTAATTGCTTTGTAAAATGGTGAGGCTTTTGACCTAGCTGAGGCTGTCCTGGCAGAAAACCTCTCTCATTATCTAAGCTGTAGCAGTAGGAGATTGTTTTGGTGTGGGTGTACTAAGCTCTCCAACAGAGAATATAGCCATGTTGGCAGGCCTCTTGAAGCTGGTGTATTACTTTTGTGTGGTGAATTATAAATCACAACTCCACTGTCTGAACTTCCATACTGCATTTCTACAATGAGATGTTATCTGCATATGCTGCTAAGATAGCTTCAAAACTGGTGGTTTCTAGAACCTTTTGTTAATATTCTAGGTCAATAGCTGCTGACTTGCACCATTACCATTTCAGGAATATAGCTGGAATAAATATTTTTCTGTCTTTCAGCAGCACCATATACTGACCTTCCTCTGTCACCCTTGAAGCCCCGGAAGGTTTGGATTGTGTACTCTGCTGATCACCTGCTGTACGTGGATGTGGTGCTGAAGTTTGCAGAGTTTCTGATGACAGTCTGTGGCACTGCTGTAGCCTTAGATCTACTAGAAGATCATCAGATCTCAGAGTTAGGGCCCTTACCCTGGCTTACTCGACAGAAGAAGGAAATGGAAGACCTGTCTTCGAAGATCATCATCTTATGTTCACGAGGCACCCAGGCCAAGTGGCAAGCCATGCTGGGGTGTGAGCCTGTGTATCTCAAGCAAGATCAACAAAAGCCAATGGGAGACCTGTTCACCCCAGCCTTGAATTTGATCCTGCCAGATTTCAAGAAGCCAGCCTGTTTTGGAATGTATATAGTCTGCTATTTTGAGGGGATAAGTAGTGAAAAAGATATACCTGATCTCTTCAACGTCACCTCCAGGTACCAGTTGATGGACAAGTTTGAAGATATTTATTTTCGGATTCAGGATCTGGAGAAGTTTGAACCTGGGCGCATCCATCGAATCCAGGAAATCACAGCTGAAAATTACATCGATACCCCTAGTGGGAGGAAGTTGAAAGAGGCAGTACAAAAGTTCAAGAACTGGCAGACAGAGCACCCAGACTGGTTTGAGGGTGAAGCTGTCTGCCTGGATAATGAAGAAGAGTTGCAGTCCCTGAACAGAGAGAGCCAAGTGGTTTCGCTGCAAAGTGAACCAGGTGGAATTGTGAAGAACCAGCTGCAGCTGCGGGAACCGGACCCTAACTGCTGTTATGTCATCGACCTGCACATGCATGAAGATGAAAGTAGAGGCTGTAAACTGCAGCCTCAACTTAATCCATGTGGGGATCCAGCTTCTCAGACTATGGTCCTTCCTATGGATGAGGCTCCTCTAGTTCAGGTAGTCGAGCCAGTCTCTTCCATGGAAGATAGGAACATACTTAGTCATCATGTGCTGAGTAATGAGGACTGTATGGAAGGAGCTCCTCTTCTGGAGACAAGCTTTCCAATGAGGAATAACATCATCCTCCATGATGACTCTGAAGTTTCAGAGATAGATGACCAGAGTCACCTCTCAGGTGAACTGAGACACCATCTGAATGGACTCATGTACTCTCTTTATCAGCAGAGTGTCATTCCTTCACAGCCATCTCTCTGCCAAGAGGAGGCTGACAAGCAACACCAGTTGGTCTTTGATGACCAATGCAAAGACCAAAGACAGTCAGTGCAGTCAGACCAGGGCTACATCTCTAGATGTTCTCCTCTGCCTCCTGACGACCTTGTAGAGGAGGAGGAGGAAGAAGAAGAGGAGAAGGAGGATCAGGAAAATCAGGTGGTCTTCCAAGAACTCTCCCCAGAGGTCTTGAACAGCCTAAAGAGCCTCCAGCAGCAACTATTTTTCCAGGACATTCAACGAAGGTCTGACTGGGGGTATCCAGCTGAGGTGATGGACAATGGCCAGTCTTTGGAGGACTGTTAGGCTCTATCTGGGACCTTCTCCATTTGAAATACAGGGATGGAAGCTGGTACCATGCACAGTGCTGAAACCACATTTCCAATACCGTCCTTGTATTATAATGACTTACTGGTGGGATCTTTCTGTCTGCTGCTAGGAGGCAGGATTGCCCAATAGCCCAGTAATATTGTTCCTAATCTTTGTGGAAAGAAGCAATGATCATTAGCCACCCCTGTGAAAGAACAGACTAGTTCTGTTCCTTGGGTAAATGCTTTACATTGAGTCCTCACTGATGGATGGCAGAACTACTGTGGCTCATCCACTTGTGCCTTCAAAATGCCCTCCAGCTGTATTGGTTCTATTGCACTGGATAAAAGTCAGGGCGAACATTTGTAAAATAGATTTAGATAACTTGGCAAAATTTGGATTGCCATTTTAATGCACATTTTTGTTGTAAATCCTGTGTTAAAGACGTGCCTTAAACTTCAGCTAGGTTAGGGCTGTCTCTGCCTGGTTGATAATGTGTATCTGGAGTTTGGTTTTTTTCTTTTGCCAGTCATTCATTTGCAACTGCATTTCCGTGGCCATTCAGAAATCAAGGGGAGGAACTGAGCAGTGAGTGAGAGAAACTTTTAATTAGGAGTCTCCATAACTCTCCCTGCCTCCCTACTGAGAGGTGTATTCAGGAATAAGGAAGGGGAGAAAAGGGGACAATGGACCCCAAAAAGTGGGATTTGGGCTCATTACAAGATTGAGAACAACCTGGGACAGAATACAGAATTACTGAATCACAGGAGTCTGGTATATTCTGTAACCCACTGCTTCTTGCTGTATCACCAAGAAGACTTGAACTGAAGATGAAGATGGTTACACACAGTTATGGAAAGGGGAGACTGTTTTGGAGGGGGAGAACACATAGCTTCAGCAGATGCTGTTTTAGAGTGGCAGTTATAACTTGAGTTAGGGGAAGCTGAGCTAAAATGAGTGTTAAGATGTACTTACATGGGTATAAACTCAAGCACAGGTAGTTCATGCTAACTGATGTGAAATAAACTGAGAAAGGATCATCTTCCAGGTGCAAGGATGGTAACTGTAAATTCTGGTGTTTTGAAAAGATCGGGCGTGATGCACTAGAAAAAATTGCTCCCTGCGAGTGATCTTATCTTGGCCAATGTAGCACTGACTGGTTAGTGGAGTAGTCAAGGCCGGTGTTTACCCTGTTCATCACAGTTTCTGCAGTCCCACCTGCTGGTTAACAGCTTGTGAGATGTAAATGCATCCAGGTCTTTCTCCTTTGTGTTCAGAGAAGCTTATCTTCCTCTCCTAAGTTTACTTGTTAATAAAATCTTAAGAGTTTTACTTCAACATTTGAAAAATCTGGTGTATCAGAAGATAATCTGCTCTTTTTTACTAGCAACCAATATTTTAATGTATGTTCTGTAATTTTATTTGTTTATAACTTGTGTTTTGTTCCTTAAATTAAAAAAAAATGAGTACTTTTGGGCATATTGACTTATGTCCTCAATTCTGCCAAACTCCTTATGTTAGTATTCCTTATAAAAATCTGAGGCAAAACCAAGAACCAGAGTTGAACTGGTTGGCAAATACCAAAACATCCCTGCAAAGCACTGTGAGGGCTGAGGGCCGTCACGTGTGGGAAATGCATGCTCCTTCAAAATTGTTTTTAAAAATTAAATGTTTGTGTGGTGATGGCGAGGCAGACCAGTGAGGCAGGATTGTTAAACTGTTGAGAAAACTTAACTTTCTCTACAGCCAGATGCCAAGAAAGACTAACAAAGGGACAGTCCCTGCATAGATCCAAGGTTAAGACTGGATGATGCCTTCATTTTTGTGTGTTAAGGACCATCCCAACAGAAGCTAAGCAAGAGGCAGCTTGTGATCTCAGTGCTTCTGCAGTAAGAACCCATTTCTCAGATTATGTGAATAATTGTCATCTTGATGATCCCACTTCTCAAAGTTTCTTTTCTCTTACAGCAATTAACATGTAAAGCTGATTATTTTTTTCCCCATGAGCCTTTTTCAAGTGGTATGAATTTCTATAAATCATTTAAATAGGAAGTTCTGAAGTGTCATCTGGATTTTCTTGTCTTAGTCATTCCCTTATCAAGTAACTCCCTTGGTGTTACAGCTTTTAGAATTCACTTTCACTTACAAGAAGTTTGAGGTGAAAAATCCAGACACTATTTTAGCAATCCAACATGAGGAAATCAAGTAGCTGTACTGCATCTGTTGGTCCCTGAATGCAAAACTGAATAGCCCAGCAATACTCAAAGGAGGGAAGAGAAGAGCAAAATAATTCACAAGTTTCTAATTTTATTTTAACAATCTTGCATTTTAAAAAATACACGTTCTGATTAATGCCAGGGGGATGCCAAGTGTCTGTTGGCCACAGGCCTTATCTCTCACTTCAATTTCCCCTTCTGGGAGTAGTCATGTCTCCTGTTAGGATGGCAAAGAGCAATAAAATACTTAATAGCTGAGTTGTGTTGCGAGGCTCTTAACAGAATCCAAAGGGATGTATGTCTTTGTATGGCACAACTTCGTTTAGCAAAGTGTTACTGACCTGGACCAGTAGTTTTAAGTTTGGCAGAATATACAGGAGGTGTGCAAGGTGCATGGGGTGAGGTATTGTTTGCAGTTTAATGGTACCACTATCTCTCTTTTCTGCAAAGGGATCTGTTGTGCAACAGAAGGGTTTAAACGGAAGTGAGAGCCCAATTACCAAACAAAAGGAAATTCAGAGGGTGGAGTGGCTTATAAACACTGCATGGAAGAGCTTTAAATGTTTCTCTTCAGCAAGTAACTGAAGTGGCAGCAGAGCTGACCTTTTAGTTGCAAGGGGGCTTCTGTACAGCCAAGTACTCAGTAGAAGAGCTTTCCTCTCTCTGAACAGCACCCTCACTAGCAACCTAGAAACCGTGGCACTAAAAATAATCACTTTTTCTACAAAGGAATTGTACACAAGATAAGCATTGTCTTGCAGGGCCATCTGTCCCATGCAACCTTTGCATCCATGCTCAAATTTAAACTGTGATTTCACTGTCAATGGTTTTGAATATGCTGTGGCTAAATTTCAAACATGCCGTTTTCTCAATGTCTTAAATGGAAAAAGGCACTCACTGTTGAAACAGCAGCTTTATGTGCTATGAAGGAGTACTGAAGTAAGACTTGTGTTCTGCTGTGATTCTTCCAGTATCTCAACTATGCTTACACTTCAGTGTAAGGGGTTTTGTTGTACACGCTTTGGTGCTATTGTGAATTTGGCCATAGGAGCAGCAAAACATAGTTGGGGGTGAATATATTCCCCACACACATCTTGTTTTTCGTGAAGTTTGGGTTGTTTTCTCTCTTTTTTCTTTTTTTTTTCCCTCTTGAGCTGTTGCAATGAAGTATGGAATGCTCCTAGGTACAGGAATCTCATTTTCTCTAGAGTAATCCTGTTCTTTCTGAGCTTTTACTATCTGTTTAATGCTGAGAAAGGAAGGTGCAAGGGAACAAATCTCTCTACAACCGTAATATACCTGTAATTACACCTCCTTTGGCCAGGAACTTAGCATCCCCTCGACACACTTCACATCACACAGGAAAAGTTCACAGTACCAAGTTTTACAATCACGGTCACTCACAGCACCAAGATTGTCCAGACAAAAAGAAGTTATGGAAGAGAAAGGCCACTGGCCCAAGTTCACACATTTGCCCATGCAAGGGCTCGGGTTAAAAATAAAGCACTGGTGGGAAAGCTAAACCTAGCCTTTGCCAACTCTCCATGTGGCATGGGGAGAACAGCAAGTCACCCCTCCTAGCTGCAGCTCTGAACAGAAAAGCACTATTGCTCCATCTGTTCATGGGGCTTTACTAGCCCCTTGAAACTCCTCAGCTACCCAAGAGCTGGGGTAGAAGAGCCCCATCGCACCCCCCACTTCTGCCTGTGGGAGCTGGAAGTTACCAGACTGTAAACATTTTGTCTTAGCAGTCCACTGGAGCAGGAGGTTGATCCCACTCTCTGAAAAGGAAAGTGAGGCAGAGGCTCAGTCC